CCGGGCTTCGTATGCGAAGGCCAGCGCTGGGCCTGGGCGTCCTCTCCGTAAAGGCTGTTCAGCACCAGTGGGGAAATGGGTTGCTTTCCTCAGGCTTGACAGCCAACCCGAACAGACCGAAAGGCTGTTCTGTACTATCTGACGTGGTGCTCGGCGATAAAAGCTGGGGGGAAGGAGGAAGGGGGGACGTTTGTGGCTATGATGTTCGTCTTCCACTTCCCGAGCCGCTGCCGGGCGTGCTGAGGCCCAGCTTTCTGGGAAGCAGCTGGACACCTGCCTGCCAATGGGAAGCAGTGAATCGGTTCCTTTTTCCACTCTGCTTGGGCACACAGCTTTTGCTTTCCCTATTAAACTGTCATTACCTCCACCCACAAGTCTCCTCACCATCCTTCCATGTTCTCCGCATCCCACGGGAGCAGGGAGCAAGCGCTCAGCTGGGTGCGGGCTTGGCTGTTCGCCTGGGTCAGCCCACAGTGGGGCAACAAGTCTCTTGCTGCCGTCAGCTGAACAGGTTGCCTCAGCGTCAGCAGACCGCCTGCTCTTGAACACTCAAGGCTCAAAATTGCTTGATGTATGGTAGGGTTCTTGCTTTTCTTTTTAACATCATCTCAGTTGAATTAACTGGGTTTTTCAACTGTGTCAAACTGATGTAATTTTAGTTTCTAGTTTTTCTATTTAGCCACTAGGAAACGTTGTGCTTATTTCTCTCATGCACGTCTAATAAATCCCGTTTCATGTTGCCGTAGAGCATTTAATTATGATTGCTTTCTTTTCCCAAGAGGTGGTTGCTTCAATTATTGCAAAAACTGGGAGGAATTAAGGTGGTACAGGCAAACAAAACTTAATAATTTCTATCTTTCAGGTATTTGGGTTTGCAGTCTAAATTACTTTCTTTCATTTTGCCTGGTTTAGGCAGTTAGATAAAGGATAATTACAATACAAAGAAGACTTTATATATGTGACTTTATATATGTAACTTTATATATGATCTTTCAAATATTGATGTCATAAAAGGCTTCTGACTGGTAGGTAACAATTCTAATATGTGGTTTTAAAGAAGTAGTCTTGGCTTGGTTGACATTTCAGCACAGCCAAATACGCACGAGTACTGCAAGTAGAGTAGTAGTGTAGATCGTTAGGAGGAAAAAATCTATAAAGTACCTGCTGCAGTTTCCATGAAATCATTACGTTTTCCTCTCAGGAAAGAAACTTTCTTCAGCTCTAAGAAGTTAAGGAGGATAGTGTTTTGATTTTATTTACCACATGACAATTTAGGCTTCCAGCACTAAATACTCATTCTTTGAGGGGAAGAAAGAAGGGATTACTGTCATGTATTATCCATTATATTACAAATGTAAGTAGAGAAATTATATTCAAAAAGATACTACAATTCTGAAAAAATTTTCTCCCCACTTTTCCCTTCAGGTTGTGGTGTGTTGCATTTGTTTTTTTTTAAAGACAGACATTGCAGGGACATGGGAGTGAGGATTGTTGTTGTATACTTAAAGTAGACTGTTGTTTGTGTGTTTTTTCCCCAAACTGGAATGGATTTTGGCCTTTGCATCAGTAAGTACTTATATTCAAACAGTATCTGTATTACACCTGTGGAGCACTGTGGAGCACAAAATGAAAGTTTACAGCTTAAGCTCAGTTTAGAACTGAGGATGTCACGTGGATCTCTGAAGTAAGTCATGGGGGGTTTTGCAATTGCATATTGCAAAAATGGCATAGGCGGAGCCTTTGAGAATGAAAGAAGGGGAATTGTGTAATAGAATTACAACTAGCTCCCATTATAATATTTTCTGGTACCTAAAATATTGTTATCTCCAGTTTTTATGGTAGCTGGACTCGAAAGTAATGAATTCTTTGTAGCTGCAAAGCATCTTAGACTTGTTTTGTTTCCCTCCCTCTCCATTTGAAAAGGTATGTGTTATTGATGGCAGGCACTGTGCACAGTTAACGGCATAGTTTTCAAATTGCCATCACAGCTTAAAGGCTGCCTTTGCTTCCTTCTTCTTACATACCCATCAACGTTGTATGCTTGGAAATGCTTCTTCGAGGCTGTGGAGCTAGATGTGAAGCACCACTTTGGCTGCCCCAAGGATGAGTGCTGTGGGAGGAGAGAACATACAGATGGAGAGCTTTGGAGTACAATTGACTCAGTATTTCATGAGGCATTTGAGTTGTGATCCATGATTTCAGTATCCCTAAAACCAGACTGTGTTAAAATACTTACTGTCAAACAAGCACTATGGGACAGTAAGAAGAGAGAGGTTTCCATACCATAGAGTTAATAGATAGGAGTAGGAGAAAGCTATTTTGCCACAGGGTATATAGGATAATGATATCTAATGTGTTCAGGAAGTTATACTGAAAAACTCAGCTCAATGCTCTTTTCTTCTGCTGTCTTGGAATTTGTCAAATTTCTGCTTTATTGTATGTTCTTGAGCAACGGGAGAAAGAAAATCAGGATATTGCCCCATTGTTGATCTGGGTTTACAGTAGAAAGGTGGAGTAGAGACTGATGCTGGTCCTTTTCCTGCTATCGCTGTCTTGTTCCAGCAGTTCTGTGGTTTCCCGCTGCAGTGAGATGACAAAGCTGCTTTCTTTAAGGCAACATAGAGCTCTTTGCTTTGTGCTCATCTGTTTTGATGAGCTACCTGAATTTTCTGAAGAATGCAATAAATTATAGGTTGAATTTATTTATTTATTTATTTTTAATTATCTGAAGCCCTCTTCAGTTTTCTCTTTTCAGATGACTCTAGCTTCATTGAATTTTAGTTGCCTATTACAAAAATGGCATTAGCAGAGCCTGTCAAAAAGAAGGAAAATTCTTCAGTGGAAAATACTGTTTTACCCTAGGGATTACTTCTAGCTTCCGTTACAATTAATTAGTTCCTCCACTCTCCTGAAAACCACACAGGCAGTTTTAAAATTGCCAATGTTTTGAAAAATTTGAAATACCAAAGTTGAAAATTAGTAAAGAAATTGGAAGCTGCCAAACTGAGGCATCTTTTTGTCTTCTTTTAATTTAACTTCAAAATGTTGGTCAAAGCTGCCATTCTGTGAACAGTACTTCTTTTGCTTAAAGACAATTGAAAAATTCTGTACAAAATGAGAAATACGGACACTGATTTTTCCAGTTATGCGAAGAAGCTGATGTTGGGCAGCGAAGTAGAAGCTAACAGACTTTGTGCATTGTACCTAAGAAGGTGTGAAGAGCGAAAGCAAAGCAAGGAGGGTCAGCTGCCAGAAGTTAAAGCTTTTTGGCATCTCTCAAAAAATTTCTGCCTGTATCCAGTGGCCGTAGTGAATAGCATATGTAGATCAATCATCTGGGTAGCACTTCAGTCCTACCTGAAACTCAACTAATTGCCAAATTACATTCTTTTTTTAATATATATTTTTAAATTATATTTTTTGCTTAGCTGTTGCTTCAGGTACATGTACAGATCATGCATATACATGGTTCAAATACATTATCAACACTGAAAGCTTAGCAAGTTGTCCACCAAAATCTCAAGTCTTGAAAAGTCTGATGATCCAGTTCTTTGGCAGCCTAAGCCAGTTTAGCTGCCGGCTTCCTGGGCTTGCCCTGCTGCCTCTCTTGACCTGTGTTCAGGCCGTGCGCTTGACTGACCTTACACTGAACCTGCTCGGAGCACAAAGCTGGCAGGAAGCTATGCACCTCGCCTCAGATAGTTTCTTGATGATTTAGCATGCTGAAATAGTTCAAAGCTGCTGCAAAGACACGAGTAGAAACACATGGCCAAGCCTGAGGGGAACCGAATGGGGCTGTAGCTGCCAGCGTTCAGGTTAGCTCAGGATGCGCAGAATTCAAAGCTGGAGGTGATAGATAAGATAGAATAGGGTAACTTCAAGAAGAGCTTATTGCCATCAGGTCAGTATTGATTAAATCTGAGGTCCACCAGCAGAAATTTGGAGATTCCCTCTTCTGCTGGAGAAAAGTATGAAAACAGCAGTGGTTCCAGAGATGTCCTCTTAACTTCAGGGTAGAATCCATGGGGGTGGATTATATTGTTTGATGCTGAGCGTGATTTTCCTTTACTTGGATAAACTACCTTTACTGAAAACAATTCCTGCCGTTCTGGAAATTACTTCCAATTTTTTGTGAGTCTGGATATGTTGTCCTGGTATCTCTGTGGGGGTGACTGGCCACTTCAAGAGAATATTTGGTATTTCATTTTCTGGCATGTTTGAGGTTAAAGCCAAACTAAAAATAAAAAATCGATGAGAATGTGTAGCCACCCCAAAAAAACTTCTTTCACATTTATTGAAAGGTGAAGTAATTTTGTTTCCCTCTTGTCTTAGAAATTATACCTGTTGTTGTTAGAAAAATTTACTGGTGAAAACCAGAATCTGATGTAGGGAAAACTGCATTTATATAATGGTAGTTGGTTTTCTAAAGATCGTATGCTAAAGAGCTTGAAATAGAAAAATGTATTAACATTTGTAATAGTTTGGCTCAATAACGAAATGATTCTGTTTTCTAAGACTGGCAAAATGGAAGTTGAAGCAAGTTTATAACTTTTAGTAGTCAGAGAAAGGGAGAGTGATATATTTTGAATCGTGGACATCTCTTGTTATTCTCATGTAATTACTATATGAAAAGAAATGTATTTACCAGCCTCTTAACTCTCAGCTTCTGGTATTCCAGGTGTGCATAAGTTATTCAAGTAAGCTCAGTAAATTTATCTACAATGTAATTAATTACATTTTAATATTTCATTCCTCTCGTTAAAGTAATGAGTTTGCAAAGCACTGAATTTTTGAACCTGTTATCTAAGCAATTTAAAGTATTGTTGGAAGAGAATGTTTTTAAAAACAATTTCTGTGAAATTACTTATTTTTCCTTCGTAGAAATACTTCCATTTTAAATAGCAACACTGTAGTAACAGTAACACTACAGGTGTTAAAAGATTTTCCAGGAAATTCTGAATTATACTTGACCCTTCTCTTTTTAACATTATTTACTGCAGGATTTGAACAAGCGTTTGTCCCTGCCTGCTGACATCAGGATACCTGATGGCTATCTTGAAAAGTTGCAGATTAACAGCCCGCCGTTTGATCAGCCAATGAGTCGACGTTCTCGTAGAGCATCACTAGTAAGTGTAATGCATCTGCCATGCTAAACCAACCTCTCGGTTCTTCAGATTCCATTTAATGCAGATGTCTGTATACCGTAGGTATGCTTCAACTTCATTTACACCTTGGCTTTTTTGTCCTGAACTTCAGTGTGCACCTGTCAAAATCCGTTGAAGAATTTCACCTTTTCTTTCATTTTTTATCTGCAAACTTGGCCCTGTGATTTCCCAGTGAAGGTCTTGACCCATTGAAATTGGTGGCTAAACTCAACTCCCAAAGTGCATGCTTAAATCCTTTTGCTTTTTAGAGCAGGGATGATCTGTTTGAGCAAATAGGCCACGTAGTCTTAGGTCAAGGCTGGGGCTCTCATGTGATATAGTTGGAAGGCTCTAAAGCAGCGTAATATGAAAGCAGGTCCTCCTCACTATTCTTTTTGTATTTGATAACAAATTTTCTTTCTCAAAATTGCTGTTGAGATGATAGATTTTTATTATTTTATTTTTTTAAAAAGCATATGTGTGTTCCTAAGAATATGACTGAAAAAATTCACATATACCTTTGTAGATTACTGAGTTATTTTAAAAAATAAGTCTTTCCTTGGAAATGGTAGAATGAGGATTCCTGTACAGTAATTAGAGTATAAATGCTAGAAATCCTGGTCACTCGTATAAAATATGCACATCTGTGAAATAGTCCAAAAAAATTTTTTGTCTTATTTTTACAAAAATTGTTAGATCAGTTTTCTTAATGTTAATTGAGGTCTTAAAGAATTACTAGACAATTACTAACTTCCTGAGCAAATTCATTGATGAGAAATTCTTTGCAGAGAAAAACTGGAGAGGTTTATGAAATCCACATTGTTCTTTGTTTTCTTTATTTAATGGCTTATTTGCTGAAAAATAAATACGAAAGTACGTGTCGTGAATTAGCTTTATTAAGTGTGAAATACCTTTATTTTATTCTTTGTGAATTATAATGTCTATAGCAAGAGCAATGGCTGAGTTTTATCATGTATTTTTACCCTGAAAAAATACAATTTAGTGTGCTAGACTAAAGCTCTGATCTGCATGTTGCGTTTTACAAGAACAATATTAAAAGAAGAAAAGATTGGATCAAAGCACTGGAAGTAATAATAATGTAGCAAGGTTAAATATTTGTGCCAGAATTTTGTAGCTCATCAACCACTTAGTTACTGATGTAGCATTGAACTGAGGAATAGACTTCCCCAAACCTTCTCTTTTCAGATGTGGTGAAGTAGCTTTTCAATAGAACCTTTTCAGTGTCAGAATATAGTATTTGGGGGATTTTCCTGTGTATCTAAATCCCCTTGCTCATTTAATGGTGAGCCCTGAGAGCAGTTGAAGTTCTCTCCTCTTTACCTTCTAGAAGACAGATAGAAGAACAGTGCCCTCTAATGAATATGGTGTGTGTACGATACCAGCTTCCTGTCACAAGGTTGTTTTGTTTTGCCTTCTAAAAACGCTTTCAGGGCTTAAAAGTCCAAAATGAAACCTGCCAGCAATGCTGTGGTGTGCAGGCATGCATTTGCTGCGTTGTCCTTTCATGATTGCAAACTAACCTTTAAAAAAAATAAATTCAAGGACTCATTATTCTGAGATTGTCATTGAAAGCTTGCTAGCAGACTGTTAATTACAATATATGAATATGGTGTTCTGCTTCAAAGGCATGTCTCTTTTCAAGGCTTAGGAGGAATCAAAGGAAAAAAAGCTATAAAAAGTATCAAGTGAGGACTTGTTATACTTTAGGTCTGGTGTATTTCTTTGAAATACAACAAAAAAAAAATTAGCTTTTATGGTAATTGTATTTTGTGTATACATGTACATGCATGCGTAGTAGCATAGGTGTAACTCTTACGCACCAGCCATTAGAAGTAAGAGACCATAAATATCATAAATCAGTGCTTCTGTGTGAGTCAAGATAGACAGATAGGCAGAAAAAAATTAAATAGTTCAGAAATTATTTTGAAGGAAAAAGGAAATTGATCTTAGTTTGAGGAATCTGAAAATTAGGGTTTTTTATGAGTGGTAGGCAACCAAAATGTGATTAAAAAACTAAACACATTGAAATGCAGGTCTTGAAGAATATATGTCCTCTGTATATAGGAAATATTTATGATTTTATTGTCTAAGAACATTTTGTTAGTTTTGATGAACAACATTGAGGTTTCTTAAAAATCAGACTTTTAAGTTGTATTCCCAACTGGCTGGCAATAACAAAGCCAATGGCTGTGAGTTCTCCTTTAGTTCCTCCTGTTAAACTAAGCAGCCTATCTTTTTAATTCTAATACCATCTAATACTCACTTCAAGATATGTTTGTTTAAGTAGGTCAAAATGCACTTTAGAAACATAATATTTATTTTACTAACATTGTACTATATCAGTGGTATGTTTAAAATCTCACTGGAGTTATAAGGGTTGTCAGATACCAACTTTGCTTGTATTTTGGGATAAGCAGCTTGGCTTCAACAAGCTCCTAAATATGCTTGATGCTAAAGTATCCTTACACAGTTTTAAAACATTTCAATTCTAACACTAATTTAATAAAGCAGAATTACTGTTAATACTATGTTAACATAATTATGTGCCTATTTTTTCTCTTAGATATGTCAAATTGTTTACAGACAAGATCTTACAATTAGTTCAGATGTATTTTCATGCATGTGATCTGAATATTAAGTATTAATCCAACTTTTCTTAATATACTTTCATATTGTATTGTTGTCAAATCAGTACAGTCAGCAGTATTTATGTTACACTGTGTTACCATGAAATAATATACGACTTCAATATCCATCAGATTTTAGGAGCAAATCAATGTATTCAGACTTGCGGATGTAGGTGCTGAAGCCAATCTTGGGTCAAAGTATTGTTCCTTAGAAAGAAATAGCAAGTGGAGAGCTAAGTTTGGAAGTGGAAGGAGGAGGTGATGCTAGGGAAAAAACCTGGCTTTTTTGTCTTAGTGTATGTTCAACTGTCAGTAAAGCAAAACCCCATGAAGCCTATGGATTTTGGGTTTTGACAGGGTACAGACTATATGCACTTTGTAAATTGGTTTAAAAATTGGTGTGATTTACATGTCTGCTTTCAGTATTCTTTACACTGTGAGAACAGTGTAAAGCTTTGGTGTTGACAGTGGTCTTACATGAAAATAACCATATTAAATATGAGAGTAGCAGTGCATTTGAACAGGAAAAGAGTAATGATCTTACAATCTTCAGAAGAAGGTGTTGCATAGGCAGGCAAACCCTCCTGCCTTGTGTTGCAAAGCTAAGTTGGTGACAGAAAAAGAGAAGGTGAATAGGTCTAAGTAAAATACACAAAGACTTGAAGTTATGAGCCATGAGACATAAATTGTTGAGACAAAGCTGAAGCTTGTGGAAGAATGATGTTTAGGGGTTTTACTGGCAGAGTTTTAGACTGAAAAGCATTGAGAGGTCAGAATGGGAGAGGAAAACTGGAGCTGAGATCTTGAAAGTGTTACATATATTAGTAGAGAGCAAATAAGTAATGGAAGTTATTTGGAAAGAAGCAACAGCATACGGTTATGCTAAGCAAGAGAAAGGATGGAATAGTTTGAGATTACTTCTGTGCTTTAAGCTACGACAACCTCATTAGTAGTAATCAGATCAGAAGAGTGGAGAAGACTTAAGTAGGAGGTAGGGTAAAGTGGGGTTTCAGTCTAAGTGTAACTCACTACATAGTCCTTCCAGGATATGCAGTAGACTGGCCAACAGGCTGAGGATTAGGCTTGGATGCTGGAATGCATTTATATCATAATATGCTAAATTGTTTTTAAAATAGCAGAACTGTGTGGTGTTTGGTCAAGTACTGTCAGGTATTTTTCTGCAACAAAGTTTAGCTTGCTGATTAAATAATACATAAATAAAGTGTTCAGTTTTAGTGATCGATTTTTCCATTTCTTTTCATTGCAGTCAGAAATTGGATTTGGAAAAATGGAAACCTATATCAAGTTAGAAAAGCTTGGAGAGGTATGTATAGCTTTCTTTTGAAATGATTACTGCTTTGACGACAATGTCTTATGTAAAATTTTACATAAATGTTAACTGAAAATCTCCATATCCCTCAAAATAGCCATTGAATTTATCTTTTTAGTAAACCAAACATGTTCATCATGTGTAACAATGTCACAACCATACAAATGTTCTATGCATTTATAATAAGCAAAAAAAAAAAAAAGAGCAAGAAAACCATCACTGAGCTGGGGAAGAGCAAAATTCCATTAGCAAATGATCTGTGACCTTCTTACGTGGGCTGGCTTTGTGTGCAGATAGACAAAATTATTCTGTTGATAGTAAAACTAGTTAAGCCTGGCATCCTCCTGCTGTGAGTTAGGTGTTAGGGAGCACTGATGCTGGACAAGAAGCAAGCGCTTGCAGGGAGCAGGCAGTAAGCTATGCATGTTCTGGTAGAGAAGACTGCACGCCTGAGCTGGGCAGCCAGCTGGGTGCTGCCAAGTGAAATACATGACACTGAGTTTGCCTTTCCTTGTGGGAGGGCAGCAATATGGCTTTCTACCTCCTCTGACTTCCAGAGAAACGGTAGAATTCAGGAGGGGCCGGGTGTCAGTCCTGTTGAATTTGATTGAGGCTGGCCAACAGGATCAAAAATGGGCAGGGAGCAGTGGAATGGGACGCACTGCACATTGCAGAAGGAAGGAGGGCTGGTCAGCATCCCTGCTGTGAATATTGCAGCTAGTCCTCCATTTGCAACGTTTTCATTTCCAAATGTATTTATTTTTTATTTTGCCTCTAGTACTTGTTAGATGGGTCACTAGACATGACATAACATTGCATATCTTTGGAAGAATGTTAATCTAATAGCTATCAAGTCATAGTTGCAGGTATACATTATCTCACTTGCTTACAAAGTGTAGTGGACAACACCAGGTATGTACTGTAACCTAGGGCAATTTCTGTGACTTTGCTGCTTCCTCTTTGCCATTGCTGGGATTAGTTGTACCTACTTGCTGTTTTGTCAGAATTTCTTGTCCTTATGTAACATGCCTTGAGAGTTTTGAATCTTGTATTTTCTAAGCAAAAAAAAAAAAAAAAGAGAGAGAGAAAGATAAGCTTCATAATATTCACTGTTCATTATGTCAACCAAAATGAAACTTTGACAACTTCCCCTCCCCCCCCCAAAAAAAAATTCTCATGAAAATATGTAACTAAGACAAGAAGATATCAAAAGGAGTTACATGTTTTCATAAAAGTAATGGAAGAGTATGTCTGCAGCCTTCAGAAACATAACTGCAGAGTGGTGTAGAGATACCTGAGCTAGTTTTAATCAAATTGAGACTTTCAAGAGGGTAAATGATCCCAGCAGTGAACTTAATGAACTTGGCGCTACCTGATCTGACTTCTTTGGTAGCTATATGGTGTATAGCTTTCCATGTAATTTTCAGAATTGTTAAGCATACTCATCCCTTATGTCTTCTGTGTGTTCAGACCTGTGCTTACAAAATATTTTTGTAGTTTTACATATATCAAAAGAAGACAATGTAAAAACTATTCATATTCAAAATGAAACCCATTAGAACTTCAGATAGAAGTTTATATTTTCTTTTTTAACTTATCTTTCAACAAAGGAACAATTTGTAAGAGTTTCCGTCTTTTTCCATTTTGTAGGGTACTTATGCAACAGTTTATAAGGGGAGAAGTAAATTGACAGAGAACCTGGTAGCTCTGAAAGAAATCCGCCTGGAACATGAAGAGGGAGCACCATGCACAGCCATAAGAGAAGGTGATAACTTTTTTTTTACATCTTAGAATTTCAGATACTTCTGGATTTATTTTTGACCAAAGAACTGTTGGTACTTGGAAATGCATAGGCTACATGGGAGATTAATGAAATTGGTGTTAGTTTTGATGAGGAAAATTTCAGTCTAGACATATTAAGAGACAGTGTTTCAAATTTGTTTACTTTATGTGGGGTGGTGAGAACACTCAAATGCAGTGTTCTAAATGGATGATTTTATACTGATTTAGACTATTACTAGTGAGTAACTTTCAGGGATTCAGAATACATTTTACCAAATGACTACTTCTGCCTGAAATGTATAATATAGGTAATATTTACAGTGTGTTACTCAAGTGTTTGTTCAGTGTTTTGATTAAATACCTTTCTTATTAACTTGATCTATATGAATATTATGTTCTGAAAAAATAGCTTTTTAATTAAAGAAAAAATTTTATATGTATGAACTTGGTAGAAATGCATTTACTGCTCATGTGTTCTGCATTTATTTATTTTATACTTAAAATTCTCTTTTGCAGTATCATTATTAAAAGATCTGAAGCATGCAAATATTGTTACATTACACGATATTGTGCACACAGACAAGTCTTTGACTCTTGTTTTCGAATATCTGGTAAGTGCTTAAACAACTAGCGAGCTTTATATTCGAATTATTGTTTCTAAGTAACACAGGCATAACAGAATTCTGTACTCTTTTTAAAAATACTGGGACTGTTACAGTTTTCTCCTGCATCTAGAATCATTCAGCTGAAAATGAGAAAAGTGTGTTCAGTTCTTAAATTGATGTAAATTAGTAAATACTATTCTGATCATTTCAGAGTTTCATTAATAGCAATTAGTGGTCATCTACCTGAGCAAATTGTCTACTTCTATCAAAATCGTTAACTGTAAAAAAGGATAATCACACTATTATTCAAACGATATTTTTCTGTTGTGACGCAACTCTTTCAAGTTAGCTAAGGAAAAAAGTATGCTTCGAAGTAAAAAACACATTCCATATTTTTGTAATAATCTTTTCAAGCAAGTGTCCACAATTATATATCTCGCTTGCTCACCTCTTGCATTGTAGACTTTCCACTTTCTCACTGAAGCTTTACCTAATGATATTTTTTGTATAATATGCTGGAATATATAAGCGTAATAAGAGGGATGAAGAAAAACTCTTTACTTCCAATGTAATTGGAGAATGTAGCAGTTTCATAAAATACTGTGGCGCACACAAGGTGGAGGAGAAGGCAATAACAAATAATGTTGTCTGAGATGATGCAGCTTGCTGGAAAACAGGTATTTATATCCTCTGGAAGGCCAGAGTTTTCTGCATGTTCAGGCTTTTAGGTTTTTTATCATTGAACATCTTTTGCGGAAAACTCAGTTTTCTCATTAATTATTTCAGTTCTAACAATAAATAATATTCACATAAGCTGTTGTCCACAATTTAACTGAACAGTGATGATGGTGTTTTGACAGGACAAGGATCTGAAGCAGTACATGGATGACTGTGGTAACATCATGAGTATGCACAATGTAAAGGTGAGCGTTTTCAGTGACAATGGCTGTCTTCCAGCTTTCTCTGTTCTAAGAATTTCAGAGAACTTAAGAATCAGGAGCTATATGGTTTAGGGCTTTTTAAAAAGAACAAAATTAAATTAAGAAACTTAACTGCCTTTTTGACCTTTGGGCCTGGCTTAGCTACGTTTGACATCAGATGGAGTCTTTCTTTTTGCTTTTCATGGCTTTTAAGTGTTTAAAGCACTGAAAACAGGAGATTATATAACTTTATAGGCTTTCATTCTCTTTGAAGTTATATATTTAAAATTAAAAACTTCCTAAAAAATAATACATTCATAACTCTCTTGACCTCTTCTTGTCCTTCCATTATTTTATACTCATTTATTAAGTTAAGTTTGTAGTTTGGTGTATCCTCAAATAAAATTTATATATGCACACTGAGGAAAATGTAGCCTCAATCATGAATGTGGGTTTGGATGCCACCGCCTACCACACAAGTAAGAAATTAGTAATACATATTTAAGAATGAGTGATGTTCATCTTTCCATTAGTAATAAAATGGAAATTATTTTCTTTAAGGTTTAATTGTCTCTTGCTTTTAACTATAGCTGTGGCCAGGTCAAGTGACTCAGTTTCCAATGTGGCCTGCTGAAACTAACTCAGGTTCAAATGTTACCTCTCTCGTAACAAGCAGCTTTTGATTTGGAAAACTGGAGTACCTATTCATGTTATTTAATACTTACAGCTTTATAAACAAGATTTCAAACAGAGGACAATACTGTCTTGAAATTAGTGAAATTGTCCAAGGAGGCTGGGTTACCCGGTATCACTCTGCTGTGTTGCAGCCCGTGCTGGAACTCTACCTTCAAAACATCTTCATTAAGCCATATATAATTCATATAAGGGATGTTATTTGTACAGTAGATGTGTTTGAGAAACTCTTCTTGAAAAAAATTAACTTTAAGCTGTGATTCTAAAGAACAAAACCATGACCATGCATGCATGGCAGGAAAATTACTTTTATTCTTATACAGTAGCACAAGGCACAAATGTAGTTGACAACACAATGTGCTAAATACTGTGAAGTGATGGGTTTTGTGTGCATTCCAGTAGAGTTGTCATGCTTGTTTTTGGCTTAGTTGCATGTTGAGAAATCTGTTCTTAGTTGAATTGCGTATAGGATTCAGTCTAGATATTGGTTACTGTTTGGATAGCTTTTTCTTTTATTCTGTTGTCACATTGCAGTAAGTATCTCTAGGGAAGGACATCTGCCCTTAACCTACTCTTTTGCTTCCTTTGAGAGTCTGCAAAGGGAAATTCTTTAATTTGTATCTACTTCAGAGAGACAAAAAACATAATTACGCTTGTGTTTTTAATTAACTACAAGTTAATAAGTAGTGCTTTAAGCTTAAAAAAAATAAAGAAAAGCTCTGAGCAGGAAGCTGACTCCTGTATTAAGTGCAGTTAGAGAACAAGCAGAATCTGCTTGTGGTAATCCAAGCTAAGCAGAGGAACTGTTTTTCCTTGTTTGCCTATGGTTTAAGCTATGTCCTAAGAGCAGATTTATACGGTCAGTACCTTTGGCACTGGGAAACCAGAACAGCTGCTTAACTGTAGTAGCTGTAGGTGCTTACCTTACAATAACTGTGGGGGTTTGGGTCATTATTAACATTGGAGAGACCTCCCTGTTTTTTGAGTTTTAACAAAATGAAGATGTATAATATAAAAATCTGTGTGATCTCTGCAGGTATTGCTGTTTCAAACAAAACTTTGAGCTGATACATGTCGTCCTATGCATTTGCAAAAGGGTCCATGCTAACTGTGGTGAAGATTCACAATTTCTGTAAAAAATCCTCTTTGCCTTCTTGACTAATGCTTGCAGTCTCAGTGCACACTAGAGATGGCTATGGATTTCCACAGCAGTCCTGTTAATATTACTTGGGACTTACTACCCCTGCAACAGTAGGGACATGAGTAGATGAAACAAAATTTGTTGCTTCTCATTCTGCTCTTTGAAAAAGGAAAGAAAGAAAGAAAGAAAAAAATCAATCCCTGTTCCTTTTTTTCTAGAACAGATAAGTCCCACGTAAGCAGACTGAGAACAGATGGATGTAAACTGCATCTGCTATGTATTTGTCCAGTTTAGAAAGAAGAATTTGGTGGTGTCACCTGGTACAAAAGTAAACTGATGTGTTAGAAAATGGTCATGTAAAAACATTCTAGTGTTTCTCCTCAGAAGTCCTATTACATGCTGAATTTGTCACATTGGTAAACATTGCTTTCTGTAATGCTCTATATTTTTTCGCTGTACATTTGATCATCTATCCTGGCTGAGGACTGTTTTGTGGTAGATGCCAGCAATGGCTACCCAGAAGTCCCATGTTTAAGATCAGACCCTTTATACGTACAGAAACTGCAAAATAGTAGTTCTTAATGCAGTGATGTAGTAAACTTGTTGGCTGCCCTCTGCTAAACCTTTCTTCATCCCTTACAACTTCTGTGTCTATGTATGTGCAGCATTAATATGCATGACTGAAGTTGCTTGCTTGGCTTGCTGTTCCAAAGGACTAAAATAAACCTGTGTATGTCAAGGTGAGGGGATGAATATAAATGCCAGAGGCAATTGTGCTGTTTTAGTAATCCTCATTTTCCCATTTCTCCATGTTCCGTGAGCTTGTGAATCCAAGTGTATTTTTTCCAGTAGCATGCCAAAATGTTCTTTAATTGGTTTAGCACAATTGGATAGAAAGGATAGGATGCTGAGCTGCATTTTCAGAAGGGATTCTGTGGCAGAAGGGAACTTGAGTACAGGGAGAGACAGTTACCTTTAAAGACATTAGTTGTAGGGAAGATGCTTACTTAAAAATAAACAGCTCTGTGGTTCTCTTCAGTTAAGCAGAACAAATTGCTCTTAAAATGTTTGTTGTAAAGTATCGTGTTAAAGCTGTGCACTACATAAAGGGATTTTAAATCTGTAAACAATAATGATGATGTTCAGAATGTGTTCATATGGAAAAGTAACTTTTTGAGAAGTGTTTTTGTCCTGCTTGCAATACAGAGACTTAACTTTACAGTGCCCAAGTGGACTGTTTTAGTCGTGTAATCTGTAGACTAACATTTTTAGTCTAATTTATATAAATGTTCTCTTTTGTAGCTATTTTTATACCAGATTCTTCGTGGTTTGGCATATTGTCATAGGAGAAAGGTATTACATCGAGATCTGAAGCCACAGAATCTACTAATTAATGAGAAAGGAGAACTGAAGCTTGCAGACTTTGGTATGGCCTGAAATTATTCTGTAACAAGTATTTTCTTCACTCAGCAAGAGAGGCACATCTTTCCTTATAAAGGAAAGATGAGAACATCGGGTCTATAGTGAATTTGTGTGTTCTCAGATGGAAAATGAAAGTCAGCCTTTTACAGGATATTAGTAACCAAAGTAATACGTGTATAGGTAATACTGTCGCTTGACTTGTGGTTTGAAAGTAGTCTTACAGCTTCCTTTGAAATAGACACTTTGAAATAGTCAAATCCTTAAGGTGGAGCTCAAGTTGCTTTTCCTAACACTCCGCAGTCACTCCAAAGCAGAGTTACCAGAGAGAGAAAGGGTCTGTCCACGTGCTAAATTGTCAGGTGTTAACTCCGTCACTGATACACCAAGTCCCTTTGGGATTTCCATTAGAGTGGGGCATTCACAGTTTCCTGTTACCTTCTATGTCAGGAAGGTCCTTTGAAAGTTGTGCTACCACTGTTTTTTCCCCTTGTGTGTGAATGAAAGTTGCTCAGAAGATTGCATCTAACACGATAGACCTAAATTTTATTGAAGATATTACTGGCAAACTGACAATGTTAGGATGGAAAACCCCTGCTGATCCAACACCGATTTGGTCTGTTTCCACCATTTCATTATTCATTTGTTACCTTCTGCCTTTTGCAGTGTAATTCTCAAAGGGAAATAGTGGGGAAGGGTTTTCACTTGGGAGAGATGTCGTATTGGTCTAATGCTTTGTTGTTTTAATGAAATTTATAGGATTACTCCAGGTTTTGATCTGTTTACCTGTCTTCTACGCTTAAAAATGCTGATCATGAGATTCCTGTAAATACTAAGAGGCAAATCACAAGTTGTAGAAATGTATTTATTAGGGCTTTTTAATGAACATTAAGGGAGGGTATTTAGCAAGTATAATAAGGTTGATTTAGCTCTCAAAAAATTCTTTGTCAATTTCATGCAAAAAAAATATTTCAACAAGCTGCACTTGACACTCTATTTCCCTTTTTATCAAGGATTGGCTAGAGCGAAGTCTGTCCCTACAAAGACCTATTCCAATGAAGTTGTCACGTTATGGTACAGACCACCTGATGTTCTCCTCGGATCTTCAGAGTATTCAACTCAAATTGACATGTGGTTTGTATATAGCTTTGTCTAATTTAAATTTTTGTTCTCAGGCAAGTTGAAAAAATGTCAATTCTTTATTATTATATAGTAGCATTCAAATACTCATCGTTTGAATTTTTGAAGGCTACAACTGAGTTAGATTTTTAGAGAAAGGATTAGCAGACGGGGAAGATGCTATTATTTCTCTCTGAAAATGCAGAGTACCTTTTTATTGCTAGGGTAAGCAGGCATTAGACCCACAGTGTTAGGGGAAAAAACCAAATGTTCTCCTAACGACATGATAATGTGGTATTTTACTATGAATGTTAATACAATTGATAAACTTGGCACCTGAAGGAAGAGGATATAATATAGCTATGACATAGGTTTTGTTTAGTCTTTGACAGTTCTTTTATTGCTACATATCTTTCAAAACAATATTTTTAATAGCAGCGTGTGGCTCACAACTAATTTAGTAATTTGTTTTAATTGAAGATAAATCACAGAAGTCTTTAAGAGCTGAAAGCTTAAATTGTTGGATTGTTTCTGATTTATCTTCTTTGCTGTTTTTATAAAGGGGTGTCGGATGCATATTTTTTGAAATGGCATCAGGAAGGCCTCTTTTTCCTGGTTCGACTGTTGAAGATGAACTGCACTTAATTTTCAGACTTCTGGGTAAATGGATACTTTTAGCAATAATGTTAATGCTATATGTTTGTTCTTCTAAACACTTTTTCCATGAGAACTGTAGATCTTTATCTATAAATCTAAAATATCTATAAACAGTGATATTTTATATTGCATTGTAATTAAGGTGAATGAGTGTACTCTTGATGAAAAATGATTGAGCTGAGTGCACAGCTGAGTTTGTACAACATAGACTCATTGACTGATTTCCCTGCCCCCCCCTTTCCTGTTTAAATTACAGGATTAAATGCTTATTTATGTCACAGTTGTTTCTTTACATTTTTTTTAAGTTGAATTTGTTGCTTTTTTTAAATGCAGGAACCCCATGTCAAGAAACATGGCCAGGCATTTCTTCCAGTGATGAATTTAGAAACTACAACTTTCCTAAGTATAAACCACAACCCCTCATCAACCATGCACCAAGGTACTTTGTGTTTTATTAATAGAAAATATGCATCCTTGTGGCTTTGCATATTTGTAACTGCGAACATGTTTCCAAGTACGGTCTGCTACTGAATGCTGGAAGACTACACATCAGTTGTGTTATTGTGGGCAGATAGTAACACAAAGCATAAACCTGGTACTATGTGATTACTTTGTCTTAATATCATTCAAGGTACCACAGCTCCTTAATGACCTGTAGAACCATAGACTCCAGTTAATAATGCCTGCATAGTAGGAGTATTCACGCAGCACTTCCTAAATAACCCCAAATTCTCTTCTGTTGTATGATAGGCCCATAGTTAAATGGCAGGGTTTCCTTGGGCAGTCTCTTGAAATCATTCTAAAACCATTATGAGGAATTTGAAGGGTCTGCACAGTTGTTATAAATAAACTTTATAACAAAGACTGTAACATTTTTCATCGACACTGAAGAAGAAGATCAAACACTGTGTCCTTCTAGTAAATGAGTAGTGTTAGGCTTTTTTTGGTGAAATAAATGATCCAGGTCAACCTCGTAAATCACAATCCAAAGCTCAGGATTTGTTTGTCCCCAGTGTTTTTCGAATAGTCTTGTTCTGAGATATTGTTACTTGTATGTATGCGTATTAACATGCAGAAAAGTTGTTTAGGTGAAAGCATTTCCATGTTAAAATTTAATTTTCAGGCTTGATATCATCAATGAAGTCAGTTCCTTTGCATTTTTGCTTTCGTAAATATAGTTCAGTAACTGTTTTAATTTTTTAAAATCTTTTTATTTTTAGGCTAGACACAGAAGGAATTGAATTGATAGCGAAGTTTCTTCAAGTAAGATGTGTTTTGTGGCTTTACTTTATAAAAGTGCAAGTTTAGAGTTTTAATATATTATTTACAAAATGTGTTAGAAGCTATAGTATCTGTTAGATCTATCTCAAAGTGGAGTATGCAGCTGAGTGTGTAGTGGATGACAGATTTGGGAAGAATGACAAGTTTTGGGAAGCCTATGTGCTGTAAGAATTTAAAACCTAATGTTTAATTTTTTTTTTTTTTGGCCAGAAGTTTTTTCTTCTCTTACTACTTTTTGTAAAAATAGAATTGATTCTGTGTTAGCAATTCCCTGAAAAAACTAAATCTCTTGTGAAATATGGTATTAAAACAGAACTTTTAAATATAAATACTAAATTTCTGTAACGATGAATTTAGCTTACTACTACAGAAGCAGTTACTAAGGTGTAATATTACTGTTTGATCTTGCAAACTGTGTTCAAAAGGTGAAGTGGTATGTGGGTTTAATCTTTTAATCTGTATTAAAAATGAGCCAGAAGCAAGAAGAGGGGAAGCAAGATGGAAGGCCAGCTGTTAAGTTTCTGAATAGATGCAGAAGCACTGTAACTTCAGTCTTAAAAATTCTTAGTACATAAGGTGGAGTGCAGTTACTCAGCTTTGCAGCCTATGATTTAAATTCTACATCAGGTCTTCATCTATGTACACATTGTGTCAGAACAGTACTTGCAGTCCTTGTTTGGACTTTGTTCTTATTTGTATACAGCTTTTTAAATGCCTGCATCTTTGTCCAAGTGTCCACATATGCCAAGCAGGAGACATTTGAGCACAGGTTGAAGACTATGTTGTCTAAAGTTCCATTTTATGCAAAATTCTGCAGCATAGTCCATCGAATTAGAAAACTTTCGTGATCTCATGTAATAGCATTTTATTGCAATTTAATATTAGAATATAATGTAGACAGAAGTCTGTCATCTAATCAATGTTACATCTATAAATAAAGATTAAGTATATTTTTGACTTGCATCCATTCACAGCAGTTTTGACTATTTTAGCAATCTTGTTACATATTGATAATACTGATTTAGATAACATATGTTAGATTTTCATGTGTGAAATAGAAGTAATGAAAACAAATTTGTCCAAGTAAGTTGGCAGGAAATATCAAGCAAGTAGAACTCTATTTCTCCCTTTAATGAAATCACTTGATGCAAAAGAGTTTTTTGATGAAAACCAACACACTTGTATCCTTTTATGTTAATAGTATGAATCGAAGAAGAGAATTTCAGCAGAAGAGGCCATGAAACATGCATACTTCAGAAGTCTTGGAACAAGAATACACACTTTGCCTGAAAGTAAGAGGAGTAGTAAAGTAGCAGAGTATTGTTAAGATAGTACATTAAAGCTAAGTACATTGCTTAAGGAAAAACTCTCAAGGCTAATCTGTTAAAGAAATCTGGTATATATTGACTTAAATATTTGGGAATAGGGAACTTTTTTTTAATCTAAGCTGTACAATAAAGAATAGAACTTTGTTCAATGAAACATAGTTATGTTTGGATATGAATTAATTTCTTTGTTACATTCCAGGTGTTTCAATATTCAGTCTAAAAGAGATTCAGTTGCAAAAAGACCCTGGCTTTCGAAATTCCACTTACCCAGAGACAGGTATGGAAAGCTTAATATTTTCTCATATCTGCAAACGGAATGCTGTGCCAGAGACTTTCAGAACTGAAAAATACTTTGTTAAATTTGTCTATGTGAATGTACTCAAACGAATACCAAGAATGACTTGCTCAGATTCCTGTAGAGACATACAAGCTAAATGCACAGAAGGAGGCGAGTTTTATTAGGGATGGGCAGAGGGACTGTTAAGATGAGAATGTCTTGGAGTTTCAAACCACTACTGTGTGGGTGAATGGTGGCAAACTGCAACAAATGCAGTTAAAATAAAGATCCTGATACTGGTTTAAGCACAAAGGATATTGTCTTGAAATAGTAAGACAGAAGATGTAGATAATAACTGAATACTCTGTTGGGCGAATGCTTTGGTTTCTTACGATGGTCCATGTTCTGTTGTAGGACATGGGAAGAACAGAAGGCAGAGCATGCTTTTTTAAAGTGGGCGATGCAGAGTCAAGCCCAAGCCTATCCTATCAGTCAAGGACTCGGATCTGAAGGAAGTGCTCTCTGTTGGTGGACTTGGAATCGCAGTTTGTCTACACTGTCCTCTTCACAGTGGAGTCTTTTTATTTCCAACCTGCAGATTATGTTTTTATATTTGTTGTCACAGTGTGACAATTTTTTGTACAGTTGGTTTTAAGGTCTCCTCTGCCACTAGAGCCAGTAGGTTACAGCTGTTGATGTAACTGTAGCTGCAATTTTTGTGCAGGACTGAGAAACACAGTGCATTATTTATTGCGGAATCATTGCTGCTAAATAACTACTGTCTGTATAGTTAACACAACAGTTCCATGCCTGAAGAAGTTGCAATGGCTTTATAATATGTGAATGCATCTGTTTCTCTTCATAAAATGTTCTACTGCTGCGGGGTTTTTTTGTATTTCTTAAACTGCAGTGTTTCCTGGAATGTAAACATAGCTTTGCTTGGCTATAGGTGAACCATCTTTAATGCTCTAAGTTCATGGCACTTAATTCCTTATTTAACATTGGAAGTATGTGTTGAAATAGTTGAAAAATTATAATGCATATTATGTTTTTGAAAAGCACATGGTGTGAAAGTTGATTCAAACAAGTGAACAGTAACTATCATTTGCTCTCAGATCCTACGTTAGTTATTGATAAACTAGAGCATGGAGACTGGATGACAAATTTTGTCAGGCTTACTTCAGCATAAGATATTTGCACATTGTTGTGCATATGGGGCCTGCAGAAGCAATGACTTTTTTACCTTGTTTTTAACTTAGAAATACAAATAGTAAAAAGTTGATTCATATACGTTGGACCCTGGCTTACTTTTGAAATTTAGAATTTCATTACAGAGGAACAGGACAACTAATTACAAGAACATGGGAATAATTTCACACTTTTCCCACCTTGTTGCTCTCCCATTTGTGTATTATTCACTTGAAATCAACTGGAAAGATGCAAGTTTGTACTTGATAAGAACTCACTATACTACAGAGCTTTTACAATGGGAACTTAGAGAGTTTTTCAGATCTTAGATGTTACCTGTTTACCAGAGATAGTAATGATGTTACTACTACGCTTATGCATCTCAGTGAGTATCATAAGTACACCCTTGGTGATGGTTACAGTATTTTTAAGCGTTTGTGTTCACCTTTATGAACCTATTTGTTTAGTGCATCTTAAAGAGACTGTAAATCTTTATTGGTATATTTTGAAATGGTCATGTAAATCTTTGGCTGGTATATCATGAAAATAGTCATAGGTAACTTAATTTTTCCTGACATTCACTGTAAAACATTCAGGGGTCCTACCATTTCTGTTCAGGAAATCTTGTAGTTTATTGTTATTTAACAGTATTAAGTGAATTTTTGTATATTCATTTTAACTTTATTTGTGAATAGTGATTGTGGCATGTTTGGGGGTGTTTTATTAATATTTCATTGATACTGGTAAATTTGAATTGGGATTTTTTTTTTTATTTTCTGGAAGAGAGAAATTCATGTGTAATGGTGACTATTGGACCACTACTGCTTTTCAGCATTTGTAAACTGGTTTTACGTTAAATCTTGTAGACCTAACAAACTGCTGTTATTTCTAACTGACCGACCTGTATTAATATTGTACTTTTGAAAGTATAAATATTATGTGGAATTCTTTGGTTTTGTTTTGAAATTTATAACAACAAAGGCCCTGTGTTGTTAAAAATACAGACTAAGTGAACTTGCAGTTCTTGGGGCATTGTTGGAAATGTTTAGCTAGGTCTGTGTGTTGTGGGAGTCATCAGTTTTAACTTTGGCTGCTTATCAATTCACGCAACGCAGAAGTAGTGGCAGTGAAAAGTAACGTGACTCATCCGCGGCTGAGGCCGATCAGGATCTTATCGTAAACATGGTCCGTAGTCTAATTATTAGCAAGCAAGTCCTGCGTGTCACACGGTATCAGAAGTCTTGCCTAGGTCTGGGAGCGTAATCCGTGTCTCAGATACATGCGTGGGTCTCCCACTGATACCAGTGGGATGGTTACGTGTGTGTCAGAGGCAGATTTGGCACTGATGAAAAACCTTTGTCCTGAAATAGTTGTTATATATTTTTTTATAGTAGCTACGGATCTGATCTAGATTTTATACTGATTAACTTTGTAGGAAATATGTTGTAGACTTGATGGTGTTGAAGAAAGAAGTATCAGAAAAACATCTCCTTTTTTTACAAAAGTAGTGAAGATACAGAGTAAATGTTCACTGCGGATAGATGTGGGACTTAGCATTTCTAGAACAATAATATTTTATAGGTCATAAAAGAACAAGTAATAATGTGACACTAATGAGTAAAGGACTTAAAGGTTTAACTGGTAAAGTGAAGTACATTAATAAATTTAGAAAGGGATCAGCTGCAGCTAACAAAAGGAGGTTTCCATTTTAAATAGGAATTCAGCTCTTTTGTTACAGATTAAAAGATCTTCCATAAAATTAAAGCACTCTGTTTATAAAGAGATTTTTTTCTAAGGACCTACAAGTGAATTGGTTTTCTTCATTAGGAGGTAGCTTTAAAGAATGTATTTCTTGAGAAACTTGGCATCTGTGGTCAAGCCAGTTTCTTTTGTTTTTTTAATTATCTACAGTTGAAATTCCTGCATCAGCAGAGACAATTCCATGGCAGCTGCCTGTTTGGGGCAGTAGTCAGCGAGTCTGAAGTCGCTGGGCATTTCTCTGACATCCTTTTCGTGCAGTTCAGTGTTCTGCCTCCTGTCTGACAGCATCAGGCGCTACCGACTTGGTTTCACTGTCCCTGAGAGCCGGTAGGGACTGTTGGCCTTTTTGGGAGAAGACCTCAACCGTGACAAAAACCAAGCAGATAGTCGCCAAAAATGGATGACTTTCAAGATTTGGTATGACAGCCTTTGCTTGAAGACGAGTGGTCAGTTAATGAGAAATGGCCTGCAAGTTGTTGCTGATGAAGTAATTCTTTCTAGAAGATACCCGGTGTATCCCATCTGCCCC